CATCCACTTTCAACCAGCTTTCAAATGCAAAAACAACCCAACGCATCGGGATGACCTACCAGCAACACCTTTGATCATTTCATGGTGGAGATAGAAGCTGCCAGTGGTAAGTCACATCGGTACTTGTGAATGAGGTTGAAATTGCATGAACTGCACTGTGTGTGTGTGTGACCACCATCATTATTAACACCTGACGTTGGGTCAACTGTAGCTTGAAGTTTCCTTTCGGGCACAATTGCGCACTTTTGGCCCCATAGACTATAACGGAAGCACAACAGCGTGTGGGTTTTTTTTTTGCACAATTTTGCACCTAAGGATCATCTCCCCCTCTCAGTAATTCACTTTTCATTGGCTAAAACATTCAAGCCTGAAAAACAAGGTGCAAAAACCACTTCAAAATCACCAGTAACCGTTGACACAGTCAGGGACTCAAATCTGAGGTCGCCCCCATAACGCCAGCAAGTGGTTTCATCTATCAGGCTGATGAGCAGTTTTTCGCGCGGTTGCTTTGAAAACTGCGTGGTTGTTGCGCAAAGAGGTGCAGGAGCTTTTTTCGGATCTCGCACAGTTTGGGTCCCATAAGCATCTCCATGCATTGCAAACCACGTGACAACCGCCCAAAAATAGCTCCTGCACCTTTTTGCGCGACAGGTGATTTTGCCCGCGCGACAAACCGCAAAGGTGTGAACAGCCCCCATTGACTTCAATGCAAATCTGTGTTTTGCGCGATATGGCACGACTCAATCCGCGCGATAAATCACCTAGGTGTGAACCTAGCCTCAGTCTCTGTCTATAGCAGAAACATCAGTATTCTTCAGTCTAATAAAAGTAACAAAAAAGCAACAAGAATTGTAACAAGAAAAGAAGAATTGTAACAAGAAAAGAAGAATTGTAACAAATTGATACAAAAAGACAAAACAAAGACATTTTACAACAATATTGAAACAAAAACAACACAAGGAAGTTATGTCGTCCTTCCTAATCCTTCATATTCAGCAACAGTTCAACCTCAGCTACTAACTAGACTTGATACGTGCTGCTATTTATTAGCAGGTCACGCTGGCACCTGTAGTCCCATGTGCTAAGACTTGCCTTTCCACAATGTAACTGTCTTAGTGCCCTGGCAACAATAACACAGTTGAGTACTGTCTGTGATACTTTTTTTCATGTGCACAGTTACATATTGTGGAGGCGCTTTCAGGGGTCTTCTACCCCCCCTTCTTCTCCGTTCCAAGCAGTACTGATACACAAAGGTTTAGCAAAATGTTAAGAAATAACCACCACCCCCCCTACCCCCAGCAGCTTGTGCCCCAGACTTACCTTTCTTAGTCAGATGTGACAATCTGTCCCCAGATGCTGCTGTCCTCTGCACTTTTTTTTCTTCTTAATTCTAATCCGTCCAGCCCAGCGCGCGGGGGTTTTATGGGGCTGGTAGTGCCCCACCCCGGTTCATCCCCCCCCCCAGGCTAGGCAATGGATGAAGGGGTTGGCTTGAGAATGGGTCAGCCAGGCACGCCTTGTAAACAGGGGAGCAGCATGGAGCTGACTCTCCCTCCCACCCTGGGCTCCACACACGTACTCATACACAAGGAGAAGCGTGCATGCCTTGGATGGAGGAAGCAGAGGCGTCATAGGGATCCGTATTTGTAAACATAGAAGTATAAAAGGATCATGAATGGTATCATAAACCGTATAATAATAGACGATATCATGAAGATCTTGTTTACAAATACGGATTTTTAGATTGTAAGCTGTCAGGGGCAGGGGACTCCTTACCATCTTGTCTTGATTTGTATTGTAACTGTAATGTCTTCCTTATATTGTAAAGCGCTGTGCAAACTGTTGGCGCTATATAAAGCTTGCATAATAATAATAATAGTAATAGTTTTCTGATTTCTGTTCCGGGGACAAATTTAAACTTTTCATTTTGCTTTTCTTCCTGTCCAAATGACAATAGTCACCATGACCAATAAAGGGGGTGAATTTCCCCAGCGGAGACATAGACAGTAATGGAAACCTGACAGGAGTTCCACCCTTTTGTACTGTATCCAAAACCAAACAAAAACCCAAAAAGATAAAAAAAAAAAAAAACATCTTTAGATTGCTGCCGGAATATTTTCATTACATACACAGATCACATGAGATCACGTTAGGTGCACTGCATTGCCATTATTTCCTAACGGTGACACAATTGCATGTGCCAATGCACTTAGTCATCACAACGCATGGTAACCTGTTAGGGCTGGATCGCAGCATGCCACATGGCAATGCATAGCACATAATGTTGTGTGTACGCTGCTGTGTGGTGTTAAGGTGCACAGAGATGCGTTTCTATAATGCATTACAGCGCTCTGTGTGTGTTTTTTTTTTTTACCCCTATGTAAATTCTATGTATGTTGCAATGCGCTGCGATAAAATCATGATTGTGTCGGTTTTTTTTGTGCAATGCACACTAACACAGCACATTGGTGTGAACCGTCCCTATAAAAGGCACATGCTTACTTGCTTGTTGCCCAATGCATCCTAATGGGGCTGCTGTGAACCAGCTCTTAGGTTAGGTTTACACCTAGGCAATTGAGCTGTTTTCGCGTGGTTATCGCACGTTTTCGTTTGCGCAACTGTTCTTTGAAATCCCGTAGACACCTCTATGCATTGAAAACTGCGCGACAACCACGCGGTTTTCAAAGAAGGTGCAAGAGCTATTTTCGGGCGGTTGCCGCGCGGTTTGGGTCCCATAGACACCTCTATGCATTGAAAACCGTGCGTGGTTGTCGTGCGGTTTTCAATGCATAGAGGTGTCTATGGGACCCAAACCCATAACTGCCCGAAAATAGCTCCTGCACCTTTTTGCACGACAGGCAATTTCGCCCGTGCGCCGAACCACAAAGGTGTGAACAGCCTCCTTTGACTTCAATGCGAATCTGTGTTTTGCTCGATATCACTTGTCCACTAGCCTCCAATTTAAGGGGTCGCTTTTCCACTAACCTCAAGTGTAAGGCGTAACTTCTCTGGTGACCACCAATGTAAGAGGTCATCCACTGACCACCAATGTAGGGGCTCATTTTTCCACTAACCTCCAGTGTAAGGGTCACTTCTCTGCTAACCACCAATATAAGAGGTTTTTCTCCACTGACCACCTATGTAAGAAGTCCATTTAACACTGACCACCAACCTAAGGGGCAGCAAATATTTTCACTGTGTATATTTTCTGGCCATTATTAATATTTGTTTGATTTGATGTCTATTACAAATCTAATACATGTCTATTACATCTCATTCTGTATTGTTGTATTTAAAAAAACTCTTTACAACCTACTGATCTCCATACTACACTGTGAAATATACATATAATACTTTATGAATGGGGTTTCCTGAGACCTGGAAACTATTTCAAGAGTTCCTCCATGGTAAAGTGTTGAGAAAAGAGTTTTAGGACAAGAGTTGTCCTTGTCTGTGTACATAGCCAATACAGTGAAGTTTGAATTGGTGCTTTAATCAGGTGCATATTCCATGAAAGCTAATTGCATGGCCTGCTATGCGGAACAAAGAAGGAAAGACAATAGAAAACACTGGAGTGTGACCATAGGAAATGGTCTAATATTAGGTCTCCTGGGGAGCTGCCTGGCCTGCCCATAAACAAACAGGATAAGCAACAATGACCTCAGTTAGATCCTCTAATGGTTGACATATTCTACTGCATAGGCATCTTACCAATAAAATGCTATACATAGAATTTGGGGATAAATATGGAGCAAAGATGATACCACACCCAAAGAGGAAATGTATAATAATGCGGCAAAGATAAGGGCATTTGAGGTATCAGACACACCACTGATATAGCACAGAAGTAGATTAAGAATACATCTTTATTTTTTATACAAAAATATAAAAGAAATGCATTATACAAAAACAGTGATCCGATGCGATATTGTCATGATGTCGTGGTATCAAGGGGTGCCCACATTCCTCAAGGCATTTCACGCCTAATATAGGGGCTTCTTCAGGCGGAAGGAAAGACAGTCCAGAAGACAGGAACGTCAGGCCCCTAGTAGTGAAGCTAAATAAGGTGGGGGGGGGGGGGGGGGAGG